GAGCTACGAGTGACAGACGTGTGTTGACCACATTTATGGACCAATAATCTAGTCAACTATTATGTGTAAGTGTTGATTTTAAAGTACATTTTATGTGAGAGAGAGATAGAGCAAGACCCGCAGCGCTGTAACTAACATTAAGTCTGAAAAATAAAACTTCTAAAACTTTCCACGAAATGTATCCGTTTGAGTTCATAGAGGAAGATTTTAGAGAAGATCTTAAGTATCAAACACGACCTTTCATTATTAAAGACTACTTTATTACTTTGTCGTATTTTTTTTAATTAAGCAGCCAATCTACTTCCTGTTTACATAGACACCCACCCGCATGCCCAGTGTACGTGAATAGTCACGTGATATTCGTTTTCAGGTGTTTTAGTGTGGACGGAGATCATTTTGAAAACAATGCTGAAACGCCGTGTGGACGGAGTAGTGTGGACATGGCCTTAGACGAATGTACATGAATGGATGCTTATTACAATGCCCTTTATTCCCATAATGAGCTTTATAGATGTCTTATCTTGTATGGAAAATCATAACTATCACATATCGTCGAATTAATACAGCAAATGTGTTTATCAATGAAATAAACCACTTAATATAATAATAACAATAATACAAAAACCTTTACAGGGCCTTCCGATTGACCAACTATAAAGTCAAAATCAAGAGGCTAGATCTATGAAGAACGTTGTGCTCTCGTAAACTATTTAATCATGGAGACATTGTGTAATGATGACAAGACAAAAAAGTCACAGTCACAATCTTGTTAGATCTTATAGAGCATTTGTTATATAACATTAATGGTTTATATTTTGAAAATCCACTTTATCTGGGCTTACATACATACAGGTCACCTATTCTTGAGAATTGGGACAAACCTGGTCCAATCATGAAAACGCATTAACACTGATCAACACTAAATTCCATTTTTTTAACATGTGGAAATGTATTTTTAACATGTGGAATAAATATGATGAATAAAATGTTTTGGTCTGCTTTCACTCTTTTAAACTTGCCCTGTTTAGAAACAAACACCCGTCCAAAACAATAAACGTGGGCAAAATGTTTCCCCCATAGACATACAGTCTGTGGTTTTCTCCCCCTGCTGTGTCTCTGGCCATAGAGCAACGGCCGGGGGTCAGCGATGCTCTCAGCTGTGTTATCATTAGAGGCCCCTACCGACTGGGGGCCCGTTATGAGTGGGGAGTGAGGAGCCAGCAGGCAGTCAATGGCAGTATGAAACAAACAATAAGGTGTTTTAAGAAAGTGTGAGTCACCGCAACCACGAGAGGTCCTTGAGCGTCTCATAAGTCATAACAGATCAGTCATAATTATGAGATAATAAGTCATAGTTATGAGATAAGTCATAGTTATGAGATAAGTCATAGTTATGAGATAATAAGTCATAGTTATGAGATAAAAAGTCAATTATGAGATAATAAGTCATTGTGTTGAGAAAGTTTCTCGTCATGATGACTTTCAGGATCTTTATTTTTTTTCATCACAGTGGTGGAAATGGGTTTCCATAGTAACTTCTCAAGTAAACACTGGATATATTAGCAGTTGTATTTTTAGCCATAAATCATATCGTTACATAATTGCTCTGACATGGTTTGCTGTCGTAGACAGAGGTAACGAACTCCAGTGGACCTTGATGAGTGACACTAACTGTTGGGATGCTGCCTTACATCTAAATAAATGATTTACAAATCATTCTGCACCTATTTTCAGCTGAATACAGAGACAATGTTCAGACTGATACACTCTTTTTTGTTTCACACAGCATCCCAACTTTTTGGGAACTGAGGTTGTAGTAAGTCATCGTTAAAGGAACGGTTCATTTACAGTCTGAAGAGTGATCAGCAGTAGTTTAGGGGTGGAGAGGGTTCGGCCAGTTTGCAGAAATGATATCACACATTTCACTGACGTCTTTTCTAACTTGTTGGACCGAAACTCTCTTCTATCAGTGTAGGCGTCAAATCTGATGACCCGTTGTCCCCCGACTGGGTCCCATCTGTCTTCTCTCACACACACACACACACGAGGAAAACCAAAGACATGGATCAGGAACATTTGATGAACTGGCTCTTTAAAAAAAGACGAGAAAGTGAAATCTATGGACTGGAATCCTCACTTACTCCAACCTGGCTTGTTTTGGTTCAAAGGAAGGATACAAATAATAAAGCAATCATAAGAAACAAAAAGTCAACATCCTTTTCATGTGTTAGAAGAGATTTAAATTGATTGGTTGCAATCAAAGATCACTGTGAGGTCACACATCTAATGGGTCTATTACATACCAAATATTCCTATTCATCCAGAAGACATTTTCTTAGGAAGTGTACATATCTGTTGTTCCATAACGGTGTATTATGAGGTGTGAAGTTATAGTTTTAAAATTAGTGGTATTTAGACAGCTCAAGAGGAAATCAGGTGACTTTGTAATCACTTTTCAAAACAAACTCAATACCACCCATCTGTTAAATATTGTTTGAGAGAATATGGGCCACATACTGCCGGAGGGATTCAACACATTGTTTCAGCCAGTTCAGTGTTCAAGTTCCATTCATGCATTCAAAATCCATTTCCTTAAGTCCACATTCAGAGTCTTTGGCAGTGATATCTTATTTGATATAGTGAGGTTTGATTCCTCCATCAAACATTAAAGTTGAGGTTTATAGACTTAAAAGTTGTAGTAAAGCTGCAGGGTGAACACCGGTAGAGATGCTCTCCATTATGGTGAGATACGGTCTACCCAAAATGGACAGTCCGAGTGTCAACGGTAACTTACGATCAGATTAAGAAGCTCACGGCCCTTCATGTCTTCCGTTATGAAATTACAATAGTATTTAAAAAGGTATATCATAACATTGTGCACGTTCAAGAATAGACGGCAGTTCTAATAGTCCAGATTCTTGTCATCACACGGCAGTTTTTGGATGCCAACGTCTGTCTATTATTCCTACAGTTAACCAGCACTGATCCTACCGGGTCAGAGGATCATCTGCTTCATGCTTTCCTTCATCTTTCTGGAGCCGTTTCACCAACAGACACAATTTGATCTTTTCAGGCTGCGAGCAGCTCCGTCATGCATCACTTTGTGACTGACTGAGAGTGTGTATATGTGTGTATGTGTATACTGTATATACAGTGGGTACAGAAAGTATTCAGACCCCTTTAAATTTTTCACTCTTTGTTTCATTGCAGCCATTTGCTAAAATCAAAAAAGGTCATTTTATTTCTCATTAATGTACACTCGGCACCCCATCTTGACAGAAAAAAACAGAAATGTAGAAATTTTTGCAAATTTATTAAAAAAGAAAAACTGAAATATCACATGGTCATAAGTATTCAGACCCTTTGCTCAGTATTGAGTAGAAGCACCCTTTTGAGCTAGTACAGCCATGAGTCTTCTTGGGAATGATGCAACAAGTTTTTCACTGGATTTGGGGATCCTCTGCAAGTCTTCCTTGCAGATCCTCTCCAGTTCCGTCAGGTTGGATGGTGAACGTTGGTGGACAGCCATTTTCAGGTCTCTCCAGAGATGCTCAATTGGGTTTAGGTCAGGGCTCTGGCTGGGCCAGTCAAGAATGGTCACAGAGTTGTTCCGAAGCCACTCCTTTGTTATTTTAGCTGTGTGCTTAGGGTCATTGTCTTGTTGGAAGGTGAACCTTCGGCCCAGTCTGAGGTCCAGAGCACTCTGGAAGAGGTTTTCTTCCAGGATATCTCTGTACTTGGCCGCATTCATCTTTCCTTCAATTGCAACCAGTCGTCCTGTCCCTGCAGCTGAAAAACACCCCCATAGCATGATGCTGCCACCACTATGTTTCACTGTTGGGGTTGTATTGGGCAGGTGATGAGCAGTGCCTGGTTTTCTCCACACATACCGCTTAGAATTAACGCCAAAAAGTTCAATCTTGGTCTCATCAGACCAGAGAATCTTATTTGTCATAGTCTGGGAGTCCTTCATGTGTTTTTTGGCAAACTCTATGCGGGCTTTCATATGTCTTGCACTGAGGAGAGGCTTCCGTCGGGCCACTCTGCCATAAAGCCCCGACTGGTGGAGGGCTGCAGTGATAGTTGACTTTGTGGAACTTTCTCCCATCTCCCTACTGCATCTCTGGAGCTCAGCCACAGTGATCTTTGGGTTCTTCTTTACCTCTCTCACCAAGGCTCTTCTTCCACGATTGCTCAGTTTGGCTGGACGGCCAGGTCTAGGAAGAGTTCTGGTCGTCCCAAACTTCTTCCATTTAAGGATTATGGAGGCCACTGTGCTCTTAGGAACCTTGACTGCTGCAGAAATTCTGTTGTAACCTTGGCCAGATCTGTGCCTTGCCACAATTCTGTCTCTGAGCTCCTTGGGCAGTTCCTTCGACCTCATGATTCTCATTTGCTCTGACATGCACTGTGAGCTGTAAGGTCTTATATAGACAGGTGTGTGCCTTTCCTAATCAAGTCCAATCACTTTAATTAAACACAGCTGGACTCCAATGAAGGAGTAGAACCATCTCAAGGAGGATCAGAAGAAATGGACAGCATGCGAGTTAAATATGAGTGTCACAGCAAAGGGTCTGAATACTTATGACCATGTGATATTTCAGTTTTTCTTTTTTAATAAATTTGCAAAAATTTCTACATTTGTTTTTTTTGTCAAGATGGGGTGCTGAGTGTACATTAATGAGAAATAAAATGAACTTTTTTGATTTTAGCAAATGGCTGCAATGAAACAAAGTGAAAAATTTAAAGGGGTCTGAATACTTTCCGTACCCACTGTATACGTATACACACGCGCACACATATATATATACATATACACACACACACACACACCGTACTTTCAGGTGTGATTAATACCATGTTCTTCTCCTGATGAACTAAACTATACAGCTTGTTTTACAGTCTGCTGGGAAGCCGTCTGAAAACTCAAAATATACCGGAAACATCGACTTTCAGGAGGACGGCAGAATAAACACAATATTAAGTTGATTTTTTTTTACTTTTATTTTCTTAGAACAAAACAATTCTCCATCTGAATATCTGACACGGAAACGCAGAACTGAATAGGCATCAATTAAAATAACAAAGAAAAAAAAGTGAGCTATAATAATAAAAGTTCGAAAAGACAACTCTTTTACAAAACCATGTTGTCCACTGCCACTGAACCACCCGAGCATAAAACCAAATCGCTCAAATACGCTTTCTCACATCTCAGGTTACTGTAGAAGCATAATACAAAAAGTAAAAAGGACAACTTAATATTGAAGACATGTACTGATACTCTAGAAACCACATCTGGGGCATAAATATCAATACTTTGTGATGCCTGTGAGCATTCGATAGATCTGCTTACTGTACCAAATATGAGGAGCTTACACCTTAGGGATCAATTGCATTGTGAATACCTTTTGTTTCACAGTATTTTGAGGTGTTTTTGAAAATGGGATTTCTCTGGGCGTGTTACAACGTGTTGGAATGGTGGGCCAATCGTCTCTCACGGGCTACTACGGGGCGCTCAGTTAGCGTGCTGAACGGTGGAGAAGCACAGTTTGAGGGTGTACGGGTAAGGACCGGCTGGAGAGAGAGGAGAGACAAAAAAGATTAGGCTACAAGAAACATCACCCATCAGATGAATTATTCATATAACACGTGTTTACAGCTCAGTATAAATCCGCTACTGCCAAAGGTACTCCAGTAACCCGTGTTTGGGTCAGTAAGTAAACAGTATAATTACTACGAGATTGACTCCCAACTAAAAGTAACATTTACTTAAGTACAATTTTGAGCTACTTGTACTTTACTCAAGTATTTCCATTTCTTGCTACTATATACTTCTTCTCCGCTACAATTCAGAGGGAAATATTGTCATTGTTACTCAAGAATAAGAAGCATAAGGTTACAAAAAAATAGAAATACTCAAGTACCTCAAAATTGTACCCAAGTGCAGTACTTGAGGAGCCTAAATGCACTTCGTTGCATTGCACCACCACTAGAACATTGTTTCAAAGAGCTCAATGTTCTACAGAGATCAACCTCTGTATTTCACTCTCCAAAGGCAACAGCATTGATGCATTTAACTTTAAAAACATACAAATAGTATAGACCATAGTCATACTAAATCCTGTGGTACACTGAGGTGGCATTGCTCCTTCTACCCTCATACTAAGTCTGAGTGCTTCTTCCACCACCGTCACAGAGGAGGTGCTGATGTTGGACCTCGTCTTATCTGATCTCTGTGTGCAGTGATAGGCCTTCTGTTACTCAGACTGGGCACTTAATGGACCTGAAACAACTTGCTTTCTTTTGAAGCAGCATTTTCAGTCTGAATTTCTGCTCAGTTAAGAGTTGAATCAGGATCATGGGAACAGTTTTGGTGTCTTACCCGTACCTGCATTTTTCATCTGGAAGTGGTTCATCAGGGCCAGCGCCTCCATGGCATCGTTGATCGACTCCCACTCTAGCAGACCTGAGGCACTGCGGTCGCTGGGGGCTGCGCCACCTGGTGGTTAGGAGTCACAATTACACCACACATTCCAGATACAGAAAGGTATCGATGTGCAGTGTTAAGTGGACTGAACGTGATACATTGTTGCCCCGTTTTAAATCTTTGTCTACACCGAGCTCGCTACTGAATCGTTTTTTTGGCGGATTCCAGATGTAACAGCGGCCACATTTGATATGAGCTGATAATCTTTAACATGTTCACAGTTATAAACTTATATATCTCCCAATAAGCAGAATCAAAGCAGCTTACTCTTTCCTGTGAACATTTTGACGTTGACGGGGCTCTTGACACCGAGCTCATCACAAATCTGCAAAGAACACAACATTTATTATTAGGGACAGCGTGCACCACAGCGTTGTACATTTCTCTAAAGATACTTTCATTGGTTAACACATGCATATTTGCTCTTTCTACAGACCTGATTGAAAATCTCTGGCGTGACGTCTGGCTGGGCGTTGAAGAAGTGCAACACGTTGCTCGGGTGCTGGATGCGGTTTTTGGCCGCCTGCTCCGGCGAGGTGAACCGGTTGTTCCTGGAGCCGTGGAAGTCTTTGAAACTGCTCGAGCCGTCGTCCAGCTCATAGCACTGACCGGGGACGATGGCTTGCTGCTTGGACACGCTGCAGGGAAGGAGGATCAGACAGTCTAAGGATAGACACCGGTAGAGGCTGGAGCATTGATATTTCTCATGCCCTAACAAAGGGGTTGTATAAGATCACAAGAGTTGTGTAGGGGTTGTAGAGCAGACTTTTCCCAGAACACAAATAATTTCTTCCTTCTTTAGCAGTTTGTTTGACCGGACACCTACATTTCTGGAAAAGGACCAATTTGCTCGAGGCATCGTATTATATTCAGCATGGCTTACACCATCTGGACAACAGAAATGTTCTTGGGACCGGACGAGAGGAACTCACCACACATTCAGTCTCTGTCCGAAGAGAAAGTTGTTGTTGAGGTGAGTGATGGCGCGGTCCACTGCATAGCAGTCTCCCATTTCCACCATGGCCGCCCCGGGCTTACTCTTCATGAACTTCACCTGTGGAGAGCGACAGAACACAGGATTGACCGGTGCCCTTAAGAGACATTAAACATTCATTTGGAGAGACAGAACGGTTGGGTTTGAGATCATGGCTTGGGGCAAAGGTGCGTGTGTGGTTATGATTGAAACAGTAACAGACATGTCTACTGTCGAGATACTGACCCGCTCTACATTGCCGTAAAGGCAAAAGATGTTGAAGACGCGGTCGGCGTTCATCTTGACAGGCTCCAAGCCGTACAACATGACAACTGGAGACTCGGCGTGGCCGCCGTACTCGCCGGGGGGAGGGGGAGGGGGCCCGTAGCTCGGCCCGTAGCTTCTGCCTCCGCGCCCTCTCATTGGTGGACCCATGCGGCGACCCTCGTAGGGCGGGGAACCGTAGCTCTCGTCGTAGCCATGGTAGCCGCCCCCTGACGAATGAGGGCACAGATAAACAAGGTCAACTCTATTTTATGAGAAAAGTGTCACTACTTGGAGGAAAAGATTTGCTCCCAATATGTTTAGTCACAGCTAAAAATGTGTGGAGGACCAAATTATACAGCAAAATACATAAAGTTTAATAATCCACACTGAAAGTTTAAAAGGACTACTTGTTTTTTTTTACCTTTTTAATCAGTCCGAGTATAGCAGACAAAGGCACAGATGTTTATACAGATGTTTGTTTCAGAGCCTGTTCTTACCGTACTCTGGAGGGTGGTCGCCCAGCAGAGCAGGCTGTCTCTGGCGCTTGTTGGGGTTGGCATTGACATCCTCTGTGAGATCAGGAAGACAAAATAAGAGGAAAGGAAAAGGGTAGACAGAGAAAGTGACAGATGTGATAAGAGAAAAAACCCTGGCTGTAAATCTCTACACGAGATCGGGACACCTGAGCATCTACGTATCAAGACAACATTTAGACACCAACGATCTGTCAGATTGCACACCAGGAAGTAGATACATTATTTGTCATGGGCAACTTTACTAAAAAAGGTGCTTAATAATATAGCTATATACACTATAGTAATATGCTACATTACTATAATCAGTAATATAGCAGTAAACAACTATATTCTGTGTAAAGATACAGTAGAGTAATTCTGTGCTTTGTTTATATATGCATGCGTGCCTTAAAAGGACTTCGTATTTGAGACAAAAGCAAGCATTTCAAGATTGATTCATCTTGGATGTATAGAGCCGTACCAGACGGAAACAGTTATCAACTAGCCATTTATTTCACCATCAACCATGGAAGAAATGACCACTATTTCTGCTTTGTACAAACTAAACTAGTTTTACGGTCCCTTAAACAGACCATAATCAATAACAGTAAACTTTTAGAATATAAAGTGGAACAGGGGGATGTGGACGCTGATCTAGGAGGTTTGAAGTCACATTGGATAAGCATCACAAATGGCTCAATAGAGTGTAAAAGGTTGTACGCTCACACACACCTGGATTGCTCCCATTGCCATCTCCATCACCATCTGTACAGGTACACAATAGTCATACACAATCAATAAAGTACTTGTTTTTACCCCCGGGCAAATGTAAAATCACCCCAGTTAGAATGTCAGGAGAGTGCAGTCTGTGTGCTCACTTGGGAAGCATTTCAGGATTTAAATAAAATAAAAAGTATTTAATGTGTGGATGGCTTGGTACCTCAGCGGGCGACCAACCACAATCTAAAAGTGATTTGGCAACCAGCTTCTTTTGTAAGCTTTGGTGGATGAACTGGTCATGGCCCAAGCACATCCTACAGCATATCAAGTTCACACCCATTCCCCCGGATTAAAAGCATGATTTCATTCCCAAAGAATAGTTCGGGGAACCATGTAGAGATGATATTCCTGAGACATGACATAGTGAACAGACAAACAGCAGGTTTGAGTGACATTAGAAAACGCAGGATCCGACCGAACCCCAACCAACACCCTCTTCCAGAAAGAGAAAGATTAAGCCTGTATGAGAGAGGGGGGGAGGAATGGAGTCATGTCAGCCCTGTGTGGCGATGTTGGGTGCTGGGGCTTTGGGGGTCATGTGGTGCTGTGCAGGTATGTTCCCCGGGGAGGGGCTCGATTTACTTACTGCATGCTTACAAACAGTGGGGAGGAAGATATTTGCTGCAGCAGTTCCACCACTCATTTCATTCCATCCATCCCACACTCTTTATCCGTTTCCTCTTTTGGGGGAAACAACTCTCCACCTCAGGATCGACTCCCTGGTTTTATCAAGCTGAAACGCCCCATTGGTGGGTTGGTTGGTCGGCCGTTTGGCTGGCCTGTCTTCCCTTTTGTCCCTTTTTTTGGAATAGTCCGCTTAGCGCCCACTGGTAGGCCTTGAGGCTGCCATAGAGCACAGTTCAGTTGGGAAGCTGGCTCCTCTTAGCCGCACATAGCCAAACCTGCATCACATGGAAGGCGTTACACAGGTTCTAGATTTTAGAATAAAGAATAAAAAAAAAAAACTCCAAAAAGAAGAGAAGGGATAGCTAAACAGGGATGCATGGAGGAAGAAGATCAGAGGGAGAAAAAGATGAAGGGATGAGGAGAAAGAGCAAGAGAGAAAAGCTGAATTTCACTCGGGAAGAAACGCATAAAACCAAAAGATGGGCCTGAGTGTGCTTGATGGTGTTGTCAGCAGTGTCTCGTCTTCATCAGTTGTCTTGTGTTGACTCCAGTGTGGCTGGCTACAGCTTGATTCGGGCGTGTGAGTCATCTATTGGATCAGTTGGTGCGGGCGCCAGCGAGTGTCAGAGAGAGTGTGCTGCTTGAACGGGTTTTTGTTTAGTTTTTCGTGTGAACAACGCCGCCCAAAACAGTACAGGAAGGGCCGAGGCTTTTGCAAATGTCGACAGGTTAGTATCAGTATGCAGTCAGTTGGTTGTACCGAGATGTCAGTCTCTACCTTCTGTTTGGGTGGATGCTGTGTCTTCTCTGGTATCAGTCCCCGTTGCGTGTAGACAGTGGGGGGGGGGGGGGGGGTGTAGATGCAAGCTTTGGCCTGCTTTCAATGTGTCATTCGCTTGTGTCTCGAAATGGGTACGAGGGAAAAAAACAGGGGGGAAGGGCCCAAGTGTAGCTCAGTGCCCAAACCCCCCCCCCACCACCACCCTCTAGAAGTGGCTCTTCGTGGCTCTTGTGCTGGAATGCGGAGATGAGGAATGAGCGGTATATCAGTCCTACATCGGCATGTTGAATGGGTGGTGTCTTGTAGTTTGTCCCCTCGTGTCTCGGGGGACATTTGGCCCTCTGTATGATAGTGGCTGTGTCCTCACTGAAGAAGTGGATACTTGAGATGGTGGTGATGTTGTCAGCATGCATCAGCCTCTCCCTCCTGTGCGTGTTTTTTGTTGTTGTTGGACTTGCTGATAGCACCGATTTATCAGGAGGAGATAAGAGTTACATGACGTTGCAGATGTTCTGTTTACAGACGCTGGTCCTTGCCTCTGTTCTCACTTCTCAGACAAATCACACTTCAAAATAAGGCTTGAGATTGGCCAACTGCTCTTTTGTCAGAGCCGCTTTAATTTATCTCAAACTCAAGCTAGACTTTAGTATGTTGTTGGTCAACTTTAAAAACAGCTAAAATGGGAGAATTTATGGCAGAAGTTAGACAGTGGAAAAGACCAGGATCAGTCTGGGTGGCAAAGAAATGTGTCTCCAGTGACTGACTTAAAATACATGTTGTCGTAAAAAAAAAAAATAGTAACATTGCTAACATTTTGAACTTAATGCAACGTTTAGAGGTGTGGTCAGGAAGGCAGGAAGAGCAAATGCTGGTAAAAAGAACAGACTGAAATATGCAGACAGGATGCTCAACAGACAACGACAGCAAGCTCTGCTGCCCTGGAGCCCCGTGTCATCAAGTGTCGCAAAACCTTTAATCCTTTGCAGAGAATGAATATTTGACACTCTCCCACAAATGAAATAAATGCAAAAGTAAAAGAGAATATATTTTGATTTCAGGGCTCAACTTACTGGCAGTGACTTGCAGCTAAGACAATGTCAAGAGATATGAAGGAGCTGAAACACAGGTTTACAGGAGATGCCATTCTGCAGGAATTACAGCTCAGGTGCTGAAACTGACATAGCATCCGTCGCTACATTGTTTTTGTGTTTAGAACAAAACAAAAAAAGAACGCTAGCCTGAAGCTATGAAGACAGGAGTTACACCGTGAGTAACAGTTTACGTTGGTTTAATGTCACCTTTGTGTCTGCAAATGTGTTCCTGCCATTCCTGCCACACTGCAAAGCTCTTAAACACTGTAGCTTTAAAATAAAATATGTCGCTGGAATTGTGGGTATTCATTTAACATCTCGTGGCAAAATGATAAATAACCACAGCAATCTAACCTGAATATTATAGTCATGGCGCCCCTGCCTTCCCCAAACCCTGACCGCAGTGTTAAAGTGAGACCAAGAGCAACACTTCAGTCATAATGCCACGCAAGTTCTTCCCAAAAAGCACTACATGTCAGCATATTGGACACAATTTAAATCTATTTAGTAGCATTATCAATGAAGAGTGTTGCTGAAACTCCCCACAGTAGCAGCAAGGATGTTCAACGTCAGGCTCGTCGTTTGGGAGTGTGTGGATGTTTTACCTGGGCCTCCGAGGTTGGGGTTTGTGTAGTCCCAGGTGTCCTGGTCATTCTTGAACACATTCAGACGAGTGGGCTGAGGAGACATCATTGATATGAATACAAGGATGAAGATACAAACTAAAAGTTCAACAAAATATGTATGGTTATTTATACACACATTTAGACAGCAACACAAGGATTGGATATGAAAATTAAGTGTTTGGAAGTAATACGCTGCACGTATTACACCTTTGTAAACCATGTGTTAATCTAGTTGTGAGGCATTATGTCAACCCAGAAAGGTAACATTCCCAGCAGGGCTTTGGCATGTTATGGTGCAGGTGTGTGTGTTGTTCTGTGTCCACCACGCCCATCTCGTTGATGAACACGGGCCGGGCTTTGCAGCGGTACCTTGGCGTACTCGATCTTCAGCGTGCAGCAGCCAGAGTAGATGTCTGCTCCGTTAAGGGACGCCTTGGCCCGCTGGGCGCTTTGCACGGAGTCGAACGTAATGACAGGAGTTAAGGACAAGATGTGGAAGTAGCAGCATATCTTCATGACAGGAATGATGGATTAGAATACCAAAAAACACAAAAGGGTACTTTTTCAACTGAGGAGCAGTGTGCAGGTTTTTTTAGTATGCATGTGCCTATGCTTCCTGATGAGTGACAGACGCTACCAGCCAATCACCAGTTCATTAAGACATGTTTTAGAACAGGCTTGTACCAGAAAACAGGTGTTTCAAACTGAACCAACACACCAGACAAGTTAATAAAACTACAGCGACAACCGTTTGTTCAAAATACTGGGAGTCAACAATCAGATTCTGCCGCCTGTCAGATAGCACCCGCGAAAAAGGATATTCAACCATCGCCTGGACGCCGTTCTTCCTGAAGATGACGATTCTCTGGACAGGCCCACAGTTGTTGCAGATGGTGTACAGGACGTCCTGTGAAAATATACCGGGTTTAAAAAAAAAAACAATCAATATACATACAACACAGTGGTGAATGTTAAAATCAAAAAGTGAACATAACACTGTAGCATGTGTAAATCTGATCTTGGTTTAACATGCAAACTGTAACAAAAGGTTTAGGTCGCTAGTACAGTCAAAAATATATATGGAGCAACAACATCTGAGGAGAGATAAAGGCTCGTTGTAGCAAGAGACTAAGTTCAACCGTTTATTTTTCCGGTAAGTACATTACAAACAAGCCTGGTTTTCACTAGCAAGAATTCAGAATCCTAATTTATATCAAAGCTGATAAGAATTATGGACGCACACGTCTAACAAAGCAAACAATTTGCTGATATAATCAGCTGATTCAGCAACAATGAAAATCATTGCAGCCCCATGATAAACCACAATATCAGCTAGAGAAAAGCAGGCGTTTGCTTCATGTTGGCAGCCCTGTGTGTGTGCGTGCTGCTCATACCAAGCAGTTGACAGACACAAGTGTAGTCATGTTATTAAATATTTCAGCACCTCACATTCTGCTAGCAGTCTGCAGGGGAGTGGCAGGTGAGTAGGATAAGACATTAGAAGCCATAACTAAAACATTAGCCAGCTAACTTTTGTACACAGGCTTCTGTTTAATGCCAGCAGCGCTGACACTTCAACACCCAGGTCACAAGAAGCAGCCCTCACACTGGTGCCACTATTCTGTGGGACTTAAAAACGTATAGTCACAAAATGCGATGAAGCTCCACAAATCTAGTTGAAATGTGTGTATTTACCGAGGTGATGGGGTAGATGGGGTTCATGATGGTGAGCAGAAGAACATTGTTGACACTTCTGGAGTCATCGGAGTCTCCCGGCCTGGAGATCTTCTGGCTCGTGGAGTAGTTGATGAAGGCCGGGTGGCCGGCGATGTATACTTGGTTGTCTGCCGCATAGGTCACGGCTGTGGACGCTCCGTTCATGTCTTCGTACTCCACCAGTGCCTGGCGCTTCTTGGGCATCACCACCACATAGCTTAAAAAAAACAAAAGCGGTTAAATGAAGAGACTGATGCTGTGAACTCAACTGGGTCAACATTGAGGCTTTGCTGCTGGTCACAATTTGACCTGTAACTTCATACCTTGCAGTTAAAAAGGTTAAAAGTTGCCAAACCCAACATGATTTGTGCTCTTTGTTCTTTCTAACACATTTTCCACACAAGTGGAGCTGCTCTCTTCCTCTACCTGATTGCTCCAAATTCTTGCAAGGCCTCCACCAGATCAGCCTCAGTAACACCATCCACCAGCCCCCGGACATGCACCACAACGGATGGAAGGGTCTTGTGTGGGTCTTCGTATCCCTGTGTTGAAGAAAACAGAGAATTAGCCGACTTGTTCAGTGTGAATATTTACTTATCTGAAGCAGACACGTGTCCGAGCCTTCTCTGATACAATCACGTGGTCTGCTGCCTCCAAATGTATGAAAAGAAAAACATGCAAGCAGAAAAATGTGAATCAATACGAGACATAATAGTGGAAAAATACAGGTATAAAATAACTATAGAAAACAGAAGAAAATATAATGCTTTTGTAGACGATTAGTTAAAATAGACCAAATTACTAATCTAGAAATACTGGGCAGATTAATTGATAATGAAAATAATAGTTAGCTGCAGCCCTAGTGATATAGAGAATAAACCTTACCATACTAGTATTTTGTAGCAAACTACCATGTTGCTGTACCATTCTGTGCATATTTATTATGGGGTGTTTATGTGTATACGAGTAAATTTACTTAAGTACAAGCACTTTGAATTTGTTGTTGCATTTTACCATTTTATTAAACTCTACTGCGTCAGGCGGTAAATGTTTTAATTCACGACACTTCTCTTTACTATGCATCTGTGAACCGTAAACTGAAGGACTACGTGTTTTCTGAGCAGTAGTAGTTCAATTTAGCACAACAATAAACATCCATGGCAGCACAATGCTACATACACAACAATGCAGCAGTAACACTAATCCTAAAGACACCATAGCAGTAAAACAATGGCACCATTTGACTACATTATGAGTTCTACTTTTAACACTTAAAGCACATTGTGCCGAGTATACTTAATGCAGGACTTTTGCTTGTTTGTATTAGTATTTTCGCAGTGTGGTATTAGCAACGTTACTTTTACTCAAGTAGAGAATCGGAATACTTTTTCCACCTCTGGATAGGTGTGTAACGCATCATTTGCACGAGTAACAGTTGCCCGAAACAATTCAGAGAGACTACAGGGCAAATAGATGCTGTTGCTTATCGTTTGTCCTGAATTTACCTCAAAGCATGCTAATTGACCTCGGGTTGCAGCTGGGGGAAGGCGCAGCTAATCGCCGTGCATTATTTAAATGTTTAATTTAATACACTTTTCTCCTACTGAAAATGGATATTCGTTTTTATTAAACCTACACGTGACGTTACGGTAACACTAAAATGTTTGGCTAGCGTCCGAGCAGCCGCGAGCCAGTCTCATTATCACACGGTTAGCTCACAGCTAGCATGTTGCTAACCAATACCGTGTACTAGAACAAAGCCGGGCTCAGGCAAGGCCCGGTCGGAGCATCCGACAAACGATCCCTCTCAGGACAGCCCAGCACGGGTACATGTGCGGAGTGTGTTTCTGGATGCATATTTGAGAGGCCCGGCTGAGTAACTACGTGATAAAGCTGCTAAAACACGACAAACCTTCAAAAATGACCTGTGACGCGCCGTGACACTTTTCTTTGCCAAACGCGTATTTGACTGAATTGAACCACGAACGAGCGTGTTCGTTCGGTAACTTATACTAATATTCCACTGCGGCTCGCGCACACACGACTCACCGTGGCCATCCCGTCGGTTTTCTGTCGTTTCGTTGCCCTGCCGTCCTCGCTGTAGTAACGGCTCGCTGCAGTAGCCATGTTGTCCCGGTTAAAAAGGATGGTGGTAGTGACGCTAAACTGAAATGGACGGAAAAGTCAAGAAAAACTAGGCTCTTGTATCCACGCCCAGTACAGCGACAACGCGGGCTGTAATTGGCTCAGGCAGCCGTCGATCTGTCTATTGACTTGAGTACCAGCCAATAAGGGCGCGGTACGCGTTCACGAGCTTTAAATTTAGAACCATAGAAGATAGAAACGTTCAGAATCTGATTTATTATAAATAAATATAAAATCTGTTGATAGAGCACCAATGACCAACTATAAAATAAGAAAAAAAAGCAATTATGTAGGTTTTAAACAATACAAATAGTGCAAAGAAATAGACATGAATGGATGATTATGTACATAGTGTGTAGGATTTATGTTTACAATTTTATCCCACATTGTATTGTGATGAGTTATGTGTGTTAGAGTTGAAATTGATTGAATATTGACAGATTTTTTTTCCAAATTAAAATGTCAATGTTATTTCTGTCTGTACATAGTTCAATGTTTTACTTTTGTCCAGATTTGTTTTCCTCATTTTACTGGATGTCTATTTCGGTGTCCGTGCAGAGAACAATAAAACATACCATATCCCAAAAAGCGATTCTTAAACTTTCAGTGTTAGTAATTTTTTTTAAGTCAGTTACAGAGCTGTTTTGCAGTAAACGGTCACCAAAGACATGCGTTTTATGTTTGTGATGCTGTTTTTACGCCTGCAGTTTCAAAATGTGCACTCTTTAGAAATGCAGATGAACTAGTACACCACTGTAAAAATATCTAATGAAAAACTGCTGGTACCGTGACATCTTTCACAGAACATATCAAAAGAAATGAGAATAAATACACTATTTTTTTTTTTAAAAATTACACAAAATAAACTTAGTAGAGTTAAGGAAATGAAGACGACTGAGGTATGTTGAAGAGGTTTATTCTAAAATAAAACTGCCACTGCCTTACCATATCAGCCAGCCAACACAACTGTTAAAGCAGCCCGTACAGAAATCAAACTTCAGCACTGTATAATATCTTAAAATTAAAAAGACACTGGAACAAATCAGAGACCAACACATGGGGGAAATCTATTCAGCACACGGTGAACAGGCTCATAAAAGGGGCAGTGCAGCACAGAAACAACAAACAGTAGGAATGTGACATTTTATTTAAAGGCATGCGGGCCAGCAACTACCTCCTTATGCCGAGTAGCGACTTATAACAGCATTTGAACTCAATCAAATTGGAGCGCGAAACAAAAAAAATGGAATCGTATTGTTGATTCTCAATGGGGAAAAAAAATATTTTGAGATTTATAAATTTTAGGGATTAAAGTTTTTCGACGCAGCGTCGTCACCCTCGAGAAGCGCATCGACTGCCCCCATCTTCCACTGAAAATGTGCTGTACAAGCCTCTCTAATCGCTGCTCAAAGTCAACGGCAACATTGGGCATTGCCCTAACACGGGTGTTTCTTCTTACACATGCTACGCAACTTCAAAAGTAGAAAAATGAGACATGCAGCAGCAGAAACACCGGAAACAATCTATCAAATGGAAACGGATTGTTGTCTGCTATACTGACTAAATCTTCAACAATCTGAGGCTGCACGAAGACTACAGTCCTGGGGAAAGAAAGGAAACTAAAAAAGACTGGGACTAGACGGACAGGTACAAAAAAAAAAAAAAAAAAAAGCTGCTGTAGGGCTGTAAAAGCAGACAGGGTGCGGGGGGTTGAGGGTCTGTCTGTTAAACTAACTAGTCTTCTTCACTCAGTTGTCTGCTGGCGCAGGGCTTCGGTGTTGACTTGCTGAACGGGAGCGACTGAAACAGAAAGGGAGCAAGGTTAGCTCGCTGCAGGGGAGGAATGAAGATCAACACACACACACAGACACACAAACACCACATTACTCAACATCTTGACACAGTGTACACCTTCTAAGAGCCCTGACTGGATGGGTGCTGAAAACCTCTTTTGGCCTCTCTTTTTAAAAAAAAAAAAAAAGGTTCATGTCAAGAACCACAGATCTTTTTAAAGCCATCTTTAGGCAACTAATCTTTGCATTTCAAAGAAGAAATAAATGTCTAAGGTGAGAAAGCTAAATACATAGTTGAACTCCCTAGAACAAAAAAACCCAAAACACTACAATAACTAACAACTACAACAGACTGTTAGCATAGTTACTGCTCTAAAGAGAGATTTACAACTTAACCCTTCTGTCTATAAACACAAACAAAAAGTTGAATAGAAACTGTTCTATACTAACTGCCTATTTGAAAGCCATCATTATTATTGTACCAAGTTTGAGAACTGAAATAAGTACAGTGGAAACCTCTTAAAAGTGATCAGGTCCCTCCGGGTCAATTTGGATCACCGAGTGGGTGATTACTATTATTATTATTATATATATTTTTTCTTCATTTCTCTTGCAGAATACCATCTAACTGACATCTGAATATGTATTACACAAACGGACGGATTCATTTGACTGACTTTCACAATACAGTGTTCAGTGAGGCTTTAACGTGCACATTCGTTTTCCGTCTCCATCGCTAGCAGCCACGACCGTTTCCATTTGTGCGTTTAGACTACGCAACGTAGCCAGAGGAACACCAGCTGTGCGTTCCAATAGCCATACTAACATACTACTTCGTATGCCAGAAAAAGATTTAGTACGTCCCAATACACAGTATGTCAAATGACAGCGGACTTCTTGGTTACTATAAGTAAATGATCTAAGCAGCTACTGCACAGGAATGATTGGGTCCCGAGCCTTCTGATCAAAATAAGCGGTTTCCACTGTACTGGTAGAGAAGCCTAAAACAGTAATGATGCTGCCATCATGTATGGCACAAGAAGAATAAAAACATATCTGACAAAGAGATAACTCACTCATTCACTCTCACATGCAGACACACACACACACACACACTCTGAGCATGCTTGTTAAAAAGGCTCAACTTTAGCTCGGTAATCACCAGTTATAATCCCAGAACTACATCAACCCTGTGCATTCTCTCACTATGAACATGAGCTTGTCAGGGGGTTTGATTTTTGGTTACCTTTGGAGACAGTAGCAGAAACAACAAGTACAGAGAAGCGAAGGATGAAAGGACTGTAGGACGGATGACTACAACTCGGAGAGACACTGCGCTGCGAAGGCTCTTGAAGACTGATCTCTCTCGCCAGCTCTCTTTCTCTCACTTTCAGAAGCTAAGACAGAGGCCGAAGAACTCTGGTAGGTAGGGGGTTCTGGTAGGTAGGTAATGGATTTTAAACGGTAGTGGTCGAGCTCTGATCTGTGTGGGTCGGCCCTCTGGTACGTCTGAAGGCTGGCTGGGTGGGTGACTCTAGCAGATCTACTGTGTGTGTGCGAGGACGGATCTCGTCTGAGCGTGTGCGTCGGTTGAACAGACGGGGTCGCCCATTCACTGTGTGGGAGGGTTCGGTCGGTAGGTCGACCTCTTTCTCGCTGTCTAACACCGGATGCAGGCGAAGGCTGATCTCAGGTCAGCGCTTAGTCACCCTCCCGCAGGACGTACACACCGCCAGCTGGCAGACCCTGGGCCTGGTGTCAGCTGTGGTGTCAGTGCAGTGCTCAGCTCCCACCACACGCTTTAAAGAAAATATGAAAAATAAACAAAACTGTGCTGCAAAGATGCTTAACTTAAAAAGATCACACCAATGGTGTCGTATTATTATTATTATTTTTGTCTGTCAGCTAATGTCTCTCTGGAGAGTTCACTTGAAATAGCCAAATTCAGCAGAGGGCATTTAAATTTAAGAAAAAGGTAAAAACATTTACAATAGTACCTCTGACCTAGGGCTGGGCGATATGGCCAAAATATTCTGTGTCTCAATAACGATATACATCACAAAATAGCATGTTTTCTGGTAATAAATAAGTAGACTATATGAAATAAACATTTGGTAAATCCTTCTTTGTATACTCTTATGTGAATTAAAAAGTCATTTCATTAAGAACTAAAAGTTTCAAGTGAAAATATGAAGAAGAAAACAGTTTGCAGCTATACACCGACTGTTTAATCTCATTCGCAGAAATACAGATTGTTCAGATTAAGCAAATAGTTTGACCAGATGTCAGTATGTGCTCATTATCAATTTAGACGATATTATCGCGATATCTCAATTTCATAGCGGTAACAAATAAATGATCATATTGAATTATCGCCCAGCCCTACTTAGACAGTCTTTATTTAACACTCGTCAAACCAATAAATACAATTGTCCCTCTTGCTCTGACAGCCCTGAATTCACTTCCTGTAGACTGAAGCTACACCTATGGTGGGTGAGATCTAAAGGAAAGGGTACAGAGGATATGGGTGCATCTCACTGGTTTTTAGCTGCTAACAGGCTCAACAGTTCATAAGCTGAGTGTCTCTCGCGTGCCCCGTTTTCAAGATCCAGTCAGACTGAGAAAAGAGCTGCACCGCGTTAACCAGCGCAGAGCCGTCAAGAGGTGGAAAAGGGAGCACACGATAGAGAGAGGGCTCTAATCTTTCTTCTACTCATTACTTCCCTACACCGGACAGAGGTCACTGTCCTCTACCCCTCCCCCACTCCACTGCTGTCCAGCAGCAGAGGCAGAAGACGCAGATCTCTCGGTGGTGGCGAAGGTGGTCTCGCCGCTCGTCCATCTCGCCGTCGAGTGGCAGTTGTCTGGTGGCAGCATGGCGCTCTCGGGTGGAAGGAGGGTCTACTGAAACAGTCACTCCCTGTCTAGGATGGAGCACCTACTTCTGTAAAGAACTTAACTGACCCTCTCCTGGAACGGGAACATAGTTGTGGTCTGAACTTTGATATCTACAAAATCTAGAGTGGTTGGATCTAGACCTTACTGGAGCTTCTTACTGCTGAGGTGTTACATGAGTCTAAAATGTCTTGGTAAAACACTGACACCTGGCAGGACTAAGCACTGGAAATATATTAAAACAGGCCTGTTTCAGTGAACGAGAGACATCTAGAATGGGGGTTTACCTGCTCCTCTTGTGATTGGCCACCGGGGATCGTGATCGGGAACGGGAGGCAGAGCGCCTTCTGGGCGCAGATGCGGACCGAGACCGAGACCTGGAACGACTGGAGGAGAGAGGGGGAGGGAGACATTTACGTGCTCCGCTGTTGGATGAGGAAGCTGGAAATATGCTTCTGCAGAGATACATATGAACATCTTTGCAAACCGAAGCAGCGAAGGGTGTTATGGGTAGATTGCACAAGCTCGCAGACGTGCACAACTCCCAAATCTCAACGTGCAGTCCTCGATCGGTTGATCCAACATTGTGCAGTAGAATGAGATCTTCTTTTAGAGCTCTGGAAACTAAATTCCTCTTCACAGCTGTTAATATGGTTGCCCATGTTGTCACTGTCCTGTCAAATCAGGTCGATAAATCCAAATTCTTTGTAGTTCGTTGTAGATGCAGTGTTTTTGATTTGTGTGATTTATTTTGACTGAGTTCTTCTGTATTTTCTTTGCATTGTGGTTTTACTCAACAATCAACACAGAGAATCATAACTTTAGGCCTAAGTCCTGACTTCAAAAAATGTAATTTTTCAACAGAGAACATCCCAAAGCAGAACTGTTGTACTTTCTACGTCTCACTCTGCAGTCGCGTCTCCGGTGCAGAAGCTCTGCGACGACAGCAATGATGCGTTTCAGATACAAGCTGCTTGTCAGCTACGGCGTGAAAACCTGCTGCGCACACGACCTACCTTCTCACTGGAGTCCTGGACTTGGAGCGGGCCGGGGAGCCGGACCTATCATGATGGGAAGCACAGCGGATTTAATTACAGCTCTGGTGGAAACGATGGCAACACTTGAGCCATCTAACGACCAGAGTGGGGGTGACAAAAACCACAAGCACACCGGGCTCATAGTTAATTGAGGGAATGTACTGATCATCGGTTCTGCCCTTCTGCCGCAGAACCGGATTAACAACGCGGATGAAGAGTGGCTACACCTGTCACATACAGTGCATCTCCAACGATACCAAAAGCACTGTAGTACCATAACAGTTACTTATAGATCAACTAATTATATTCTTACCTGCTCCTGCGTCTGGAATAGGATGGAGATCGACGACGGCTCCTGAGACAAGAACAAAAAAGTATACACAAAAGTCTCATCTGTTGACCTGGCTCCCATGAATAAACATGACACAAATGTCAACTAAAAAGCCACCGAGTGTCTGTGTTTCGGTGCTGACTTACCGGCTGCGGCTGCGGCTGTGGGAGCGGGAACGAGAGTGATAACGGCGTCCGCGGGACCTGGAGCGAGATCGGGAATGGGAGCGAGACCTGGAACGGAAACACACAAACATCTCTTATTCTCTGCTGTCTTTTGATGGGACAAGAAGGATGAGTGGCACTAGTGTCAACACGCATCGCTTCAGCCACAACCACATGCAAAACGGACTGTATCCCCTCACCTGCTGCGACGGCCTCCTCGCTTGCTAAAGCGGTAGCAGTCGTAGGCATAGTGGCCCCGGTCCCCGCACTGGTAACACCGATCGCTGGGGTCGAACTGGCGTCGGCTGGGGCGCCCGCGGCCCTTCCTGGAGAGGCCGGTAGACAACTCCACTCGAACACGTGAACCACAGAGGAGCCTGAGGAGAGGAAAGGTCAGTGAGGGAGGCTGCAGGGACAGAAACCCTGAACAATATTACACTGTTGTCCTCTAGAGTCCTATAATATTTGTGTTCCTTTTCTCCTTTACTAAAGGGATGGTGGCTTTAAAGAGCTCTTAAACAATGGCTTCAGTTCCCCGTCAGGTAAAGCCGTGAAAATATTCTATTACACTTAATAATAATAATAATAATAATAACAATAATACATTTTATTTATTGAGCGCTTTTCTAAGACACTTTACATTAAAATCATCATATAAAAGAAAGCTGTACACTAAAATTGTAAAACACATAATATCGGTCACACACTAAAAGCAGTTCTGAATAGGTGGGTTTTGATTTGTGATTTGAATATGGAAAGGTCAGTGCCGTCACGGATGCGTTTGGGGAGGTAGTTCCAACTGATGATTTTTTTTAAATGTCTGAAATAGCTACTGTAGGTAGTCCTATGGATAAGTACTTCATACAACCCCACTTAAAAACATGCAAACTGCCCCTTCAAGGGCTACACACTTTTGTAGATGGGAAGAACAAAACAGAGGACTACTGAAATATTCCCAGACAATGTTACAGGATATCAACTTACTTTCCATCCATGCCTTTCACTGCATCTTCTGCATCTCTGGGATCCTCAAACTCCACAAACGCGAACCCGGGTGGGTTCCTGGCCACCCAGACGGTCCTCAGTGGGCCATAATAACTGAACGCTCGCTCCAGCTCCCCTTTGGCGGCACCGTTGCCCAAGTCTCCGACGTACACTTTACAGTCGGTGGCCCGAGACGAACTACGGGAGGATGAATGGTGCGACATTTCTCGGTCTCGTTGCCTGTTGGGAAAATGTGCATAAATCAGTCCATTAATCAATAAGATAATTTACAAAATATACTCTCTAGTAATTTTTCAAGCAAAATTGAAATCCCCTGGTACTAATACAGAAAAAACGAGCATTGGGAAAATCTGACATTGATCTCAGGAAAACTTACCATTTTAATGGTCAATTTAGTGATGGAGAAAATAATCTGATTAATTAATTAAATATTACAGGAGATAATTGTGACCCTCTGCCCACCTTCAGCCTAATAAACATTACATTTGTGCTGTTTAAATACAGATCCTTTTTGTCCAAAGCCATTTACAATCCGCACAAACACCCTTCTTACACATTACTACTGCAAGTGCTGGTTTCAGACCTTTTCACTTTCTCAGAGAGATCTTCTGAGCTCATGATGGATGCCTTTCTACAGATCAGTGGCTCTCACAGGACAGCAATGCTCTCACAGGACAGCAATGCTACAAACATCGGAGTATCGTGTAGAATATGATGCGCTGCTGCAGATTACAGTATATAAATGAGTTAAAATGCAGCATACACATTCATGCAGCAGTCATATTAATCCAGAAACTTTGTATACAACAGTAAAACGCTGAAATGGAACATTTTAAAGCACAATCAATAATGTTATTTTTTATATTTTGAGTACATTTAGCTGATAATACTTTTACTTTAGTTAAGATTGGAATGGAGGACTTATTTTAACTTGTAGTGGAGTATTTTCATAATGCGGTACTAGCACCGTTATTTAAGTAAAGGATCTGAATACTTCTTGGACGAGGGGCTAGAAAACATCTCGGTTGGTCACGTGAGCTCAGCAGGTACAATAGCGTCACGCTGGTCACACGAGCGCCTGTTCGCGCGCCAACCACCGGCCTCCTGCAATCTCTTTTAAAACATGACCGACCACGTACTGTTCAGTGGTGTCAACCTCATCTACACAGAGGACGGACTTTGCGTTATAGCGGAACAATAACCGCGTTGTATTTAACAGTCTCCGTTAACTAGATACAGAGCAGTTATTTTCTAACCGGGCACCTTTCATTGGGGCCAATAACAAGTCTATAAAACCTTACTATGATGATTAACGCTACACGGTGTCTGACACCAGCGGAGGACGCACTGTTTTGAACTAAATGATATGCGCGGATTAGTCTGTGTCGCGTTAGCTTGATCTACCCACAGTCAAGAGGGGCCATTTCTAGCTCACCAAACCACCACTAAATATTAATTTAATATATAGACGTACTTTTTAAAAGACAACTATTCGACTCAAATACACAATATATCTGTTTGGTGTGTGCATGTACCTTAACATGTAATTAATTGGTTAAACATGGAGAATTAGCCGAAGGCCTCGCTCTCCGCCTGCTCAAAAACAATGGCGACCGCACGCGCTAGCTAACGTTACCTTCTGCCGCTGCTCCGATGATTACCGACTCAGCTCCACGCAGGGGGGAATTCAGCCGCCTGAAACAGAAACCCGAGGTGGTATTAAACCAATTTACCAATATTTTTTCCAGAATTATCTTGCCAAATTGCCACTTTCGTGGACGTTAAAGGCTATTCCACATGCCTATCCCACAGGTTGGCCGGGTTAACACTAGAAACGAAACACAAGCGAACACAGCTCCCCGAACTAACTCCGTCACATCCGCATCTGCGCACTGTGTGTTTAACATATATACTTTCGCTCAGATCAAAGTACCTCGGATTTGGTACAGCACTTGAGTAAACGTAGGCCTACTTAGTTACATTCCACCACCGGAAACACCAACAACATTCCCCAGTCACAATAATAAAGAAGGACATGCTGATTATCTGTATAAATGCGCCATTTGCTATCAAACTATATAAATCTGAAGTAATCAGTTACCACTGGAGGGCAGTAAACGCATTAATATCAGTATGAATACCTATACGATACATCAAGATGAAGAATGTGTTGTTGTTTCTAAGTCTGAAAACCTGTTATTAAAGTTATCTTTTCATCACTACTTCTAATTCATATCTGATTGTATCAGTCTGGTCACTATATTTTGAAAGGGCAAGCCGGTGTCTCTGAAGCCAGAGCTGCGATTGTGTTTGAATGTACACTACGAGAAAAAACTTGGTTTTGGTGGAATGAAAACATCCTAAATACACATTTAGGTGTTTTACCAAATAGTGTTTTACTATTTGGTCTTCTGCGTCTAGAGTTTTACTGAGTTCACCAAAAGCTAGCATAACATAATGTCTCATTTGCATATGATATTTGCATAACTTGTATTACGAAAAATAATTGCCCTGACATTAATCAACTGTGGAAGTTGTATGGTGATATCTATATTTTTTTATCATATTCACCTGTCTTCACAATATATGGAATTGTATCTATAAAGGCTGTTTTCTTAGAATAACGTCTTTCTCACTCTGAGCCAGTAATATATATTCTGAAGGTTCTTATAGAGGGCTTTGTTTATTTCATTCACATTCTGATTTATGGAACCTTTTATTCCTAAAAACATGGTCAAATGTGTTTTTTGTAATGGCTGTTGACAGTATTTTCAGATTTTTGAAGTGATACAAGGAGATATCCAAAAACCCCTCGGTAAAACCCTTTGATTCTAATGTGTCAACAAAATGAAACAATCATTTTGAACCTGGCTTTATCCAATGTTGTATGATAATGCCTCATATGCATATTCAAACACAATTTCAGAAAAAGTGTCATGCTAAAAAGAATTGTCTAAATGTAAATAATCAACTGGGGAGGTTTCATGGTGATATCTATGACACATAACATGTGTCATAGATATCATGTAGAAAAGGTCAAAGGTCAAAAGTAGGATACCCTGATTGTTCTTCTTGGAGTTCTGCTCATGCCAAGTCCAATGCTCTATTTACTTTTCTTATTGTTTATTTTTCTCAGAACTTTAGAGTTATAGTTAACCTCTGAGGTGTTTCGGTGCATGTTGGGTTTAACTGCCGTTTGCTCATTCAGTGCAAAAATAATGACTCAGACACATTATGCCTTGAAAATAAATAAACTATATTCAAATAAGGTCAATTTCATTTAATTCAAGACCTTCATTTTCTTTCGGTAACACATTACACCTCATGCCATGTTCTCAAAAACAAGTTCGTCTAATGTTTTTTTCATTTCATAAAAAAACTTAAATCTCATCTTCAAGTTAATAATTTATTACAGTATTGAATAAATGTTTATGTCTATCACATGATATTGTAGTAACTCAGTCGTTATTTCCCTACAAAGGTTCAGGCAGGGAGAGAGAGAGACATTTTCATCATCACAGGAAAAAACTTCACAGGGACACATTGAAGAGCAAGACCCGGGAAGGAGGGAATGGGAGGAGGAGAGAGAAGGACTAGGAGAAAAGGGAGACGAAGAAGAAGAATGGTAAGAAGGAGGAGAAGAAGAAAAAAGAGGAGAAGAAGAAGAAGAAGAAGAAGAAGAAGAAGAAGAAGAGGGTAACACTAACACAGACACAGAAATATTGTACACCAACAAACAAAAAAAGATGACCCAACAGAACCCGCTCCCTTTTCGCAGCTTCTGAAGGTAACGTAACTAAAGAGCAGCAGACACTGTCTCTGCGTGTCTCTTCTATATCTGGATGGAGCCGCTTGCTCTTTTTAATCTCAGAGAGCCTCTGGTGTTTGGGATTGGAACTGTGGGGCATTAACCCCACAGGGTAAAATAATGCCTACAAGGCGTCCATCACAGTAGACCATGCTACTAACACACGTACACGGAGGGTTCAACATGCATCTTGCAGAAGGACACGGAGGGGGGAGGCAAACACGGACGCACACTTAAAGGGAGGGCGAGGAGGAGATGCTGGATGGGGAGGCGTCACATCTAGCTACAGAACAGCAAGGGGCCGAAGCCAGACAGTAACAGAAGTTAATGGAAAACATAGTCCGGACAGTGTTCTGTTCTCGGGGGGTGGAGCCACACCTGCTGGGACGAGGCCGGGTACACAATCTGATATGTAGACGTTGGTGCTGATAACTCTTCACCCATTCATTAATTACACGCAGCTCGCTCTGTGTGTGTGTGTGTGTGTGTGAGGTGTGTACTCTATAGGTCCCACCAGGTGGTTCAGTCAGTAGACTACAGTTAGGCTGCTGTTACAACATCACCGACCACCATTCGTATCTACAGAAAGTTCTTCTTCAGCTTATTTAGCTAATGACGACCCGAGACTGATTGACAGTCTCGCTGGCAAACGTCCCACAGTTTCCTCATGTAAACATGCTACTTGCACTCAAAAAAACCCCATCCTCCTCCGAGAGAACCGAACGACGAAATGAGCGTCGGCGGAGGAATACGACAAACAATGGAGCACAAAAAAACGTGTGAGCTGACCTCTCGTCTCAAAAGCTAACCATCACGTGTAGGCTACTTGTTTTCCGTATTGCACATCGAAACCACACTCCTCGAAACTGAACTCCCGAGCTGTTCGCCTTAAGAACCTGCGGCCCAGCTTATTCATAGATAAATCCTCTTCTCGTAAATAAATACGTATCTAAATAAATAACACGAGTAACATTGACACAAACGCACTACGGTAAAGTAGATGGGGCTATGTTACATTACACTGTTTGAGCAGTTCGGAGGGAAACTTCCTCCCTGTGGAAAATGTATCAAAATCTAATCCGATAAACTCAGTTACGGTGTATATATTGATACTTATATATTGATACTTCTCCAAACGTTGTTTAGAAGTAAAAAAAACAATCTGCATTGGCTGTATCTGCAAGTAAAAGATACAAAATCTGCTTTAGAAAGTTTCACAAAGTATAGTTAGTTCAGGGTAAAACAAATCAAATATTTCTGATATTATATAGCGCTTATCGTTTATGGGTGAACATGATAGTAACGTAACTGCAGCACAAAGACTAATGTATTTAAGGTGACCAATATGGAATATTACGGTAATTAGAACGTCGACTGCGTCCTCGTGTAGAAAAAGGATGGTGGGTTCTCGATGCTAAGCTAACAGCTAACTACTATATTAGCGCACCACACTGCTCGCTACATTCGCTGCGACTGATTTAAAAAAAAAAAAAAAATCTTATTTCACGCACCGACTTCTCAGCTTTATGTTAAAAAGTAATAAACACTAAAATGTCGATGTGGAAATGTCACAGCGCTGTTATGTTTTTACCGTCTACTTAGCGGCCATTTTTCAGTAGCTTGTGAACGTGTTTTACCGTATGCTCCAACTCTGCCATGCAATACTGTCAGTACTGAGTGACACGTGCATGCCCCTGCAGGGCCGTGTTTTCTAAAGGGGTTTCCCTATTGCCTGTGCTGTGGTACTATGACTTCAATGACTGTCTGCTGACCCACAGAGTGTAAACAAAGTCTGGGGAACATTAGACGATAGACCTTAAGTTAGTTAGTTCAACAGTGTGCAGACTCTCCATGTAAACGGAGTACATCAGTCAGTCCGGTGGAAACTTCAGACAGCTCATAGTTTTACCTTTGTTCATTGCACACTTAACAGTTTGTCGACTGCAGAAAAAACACAGCACGTTTTACATCACATTAAAATAAAGTGCAGCTTTGTACAGCTGAAAGCTTGAATACCAGATTTTTTACTTGAGAGTTTTCCTTAAGGCATTGAATGGGTGCCATCGCTGAAGCATCAGTGTGTTGTAGTCCTGCGTCCGAATTAAAAGTGTTGCTCATTATGCTGCAGACTGAATGTTGATGACTGGAATCAGTTTTTAAATGACGTTAATTGTAATTCAGTGACTTTAGAGGCTTCGCTATTGTGAGTAAACTAACACTGTTAAGTCCACGCTTCCATGTTTGTGTGAACCGAGCTGCCCTCACTAAAGGTGAAGGATCAGTCTGTTGGGGTACATGCCAGAGTAATGGATTAGTCCTGACACGGTGAGGACTGACTGTGGGTCAGAGTCTGCACTCAGATCGCAGTCCCTCTGGATGGGGAGCAAAAAGCATTTTGATTGCACTCCACACAGCAAGTCCTCCCGTGGAGGAAAAATGTCAGACCAAACATCTCTCCTCCTTCCTGTATGCCTACACACACACACACACACACTCACACACACACACACACACACACACA